AGATGCTCCACCGCGCCATCTTCGCAGGTTCGGGCACCGCCGGCGGGCCATCCTGGCACTGGCTCTTGTTTCGCCACTTTGGGTTTAGGGTTTAGGGTTTAGGGTTAAAGGGTATAGGGTTGAGGGTTTAGGGTTAAGGTTTACGGTTTAGGGTCTAGGGCTTAAGGTTGCATACCGCAAGCCAGCTATGTCCACATGTGTCCCGTAAGGGCTACACCTTCACACCGAGAACAAGGCGCCCTGAAGCATCTAACTTCTGACGCCCACCGGCAGTCCTCCACAGGATAGCCTTGGCTGTGGGATACTCGAGGGTTTATTCTGCAGGTAGTTTCATGAGCCTGAGAAGTCCTACCTAGAAACAACAGATGCTACAACATCATCCTCAACCTCGCAAAATGCTCTTTACATCGTTTCACCCCTTTGGAGCAGGAGTACCTGAAACTTTCCGGGAAGTTCTGGTGTTCAGGGCACCCTAAGTTTTAAACCTAAACCCTGAGGATGCAAGAAATCATGTTCCTTAAGCTAGACGCAAGAGCAACCTAGGAAACACAAGGGTGCCCTTTCTGGTTTCAAGGGGCTTATAGGGCAATCCAAACCCTAGAACACAAAAAGCGGAACAGGGCCTACTCTGGGTCCCAGCAATAGTCATAGTCTCAGTCATAGTCCCTAAACCCTAAACCCTGAACCCTGAACCCTGAACCCTGAACCCTGAACCCTAAACCCTAAACCCTAAACCCTAAACCCTAAACCCTAAACCCCAAACCCCAAACCCTAAACCCTAAACCCTAAACCCTAAACCCTAAACCCTAAACCCTACAGGAAGGTTTCGTTCCTCAAAGGGCTTTGGGGCTCTCCGATGGTGTCGCAGGCAAAGGGGCCAAGCTCGAGCCACCGCGGAAGCCCGCCATCGAGGACGGCAACCTCCATGCGATGGGCCCCAGGGTTAGGGTTTAGGGTTTAGGGTTTAGGGTTTAGGGTTTAGGGTTTAGGGTTTAGGGTTTAGGGTTTAGGGTTTAGGGTTTGGGGTTTGGGGGTTTGGGGGTTTGGGGCTTGGGGCTTGGGGTTTGGGGTTTGGGGTTTGGGGTTGGGGGTTTGGGGTTTGGGGTTTAGGGTTTGGGGTTTGGGGTTTGGGTTTGGGGTTTGAGGTTTGGGGTTTGGGTTTGAGGGTTTGGGTTTGAGGGCTGAGTGTTTAGGGTTACGTGAGATTCTCCAGGGGGCTTTCTAGATTTTCGGGATGCAGGCGGTGCGCAGCGCTTACAGTTAACGACCTGACTTCCAACCTTTATATACCTAAACCTCAAGTAGAGCTTGAGAGGCTTCATATTTTCGAGTGTTGGGCTTTCAGGGGGGCTTGGAGCTTGGGGTGTTTTCTTGGGGGGGACTGGGGGTGTAGGGACTTCTAACGGAAAGGGCTTAGGGCTTAGGGCTTAGGGCTTACGGCTTAGGGCTTAGGGCTTAGGGTTTAGGGTTTAGGGTTCAGGGTTCAGGGTTCAGGGTTTAGGGTTTAGGGTTTAGGGCCCTAAACCCTAAACCCTAAACCCTAAACCCTGAACCCTGAACCCTGAAGCCTAAACCTTAACCCCTAAGCCCTAAGCAACCCTGAACCGCCCTAAGAAACCCCCGTGCAAAGCCCTGAACCCTAGGGCCCTGCCCAGTGTTCCTGGCTGCCTCGCTGGGATGACCGAAGGCGACCTTTAGAGTGTACCTGGGTCTGCTTAGCCGGGGCGTTAGGAACTTTGTAGGTTTTTAATAAAAACCCGGGTTTTTAAAAGAGTGTGTTTACAAAAGCCCTCTGTGTACCTGGGTCTGCTTTGCCGGGGCGTTAGAAACTTTGTCGTTTTTTTTTGGGCTTGGCACGTGCTCTCTGCTGGCAGTCCACAGCGCTCCGTTGTCCTTTGAACCCCCAGAGCATGCACACATTCAGGACTTTTCAATGAGGGCCCGCTTCCATAACCATGGGAAGCACTCAGCCCCACCTCAATAAGCCCCGGGCCCACAGCCGCAATCCCGCTTAGGGTTTAGGGTTTAGGGTTTAGGGTTTAGGGTTTAGGGTGGTGGCCCCTTGGTCTATGGACCCGTTGTGTATGCTGAAGGAAGATGCTTCTGGGTCCGACAGAGCCTTCACGTCAAGGGAAAGCCGTTCGGATCCTAGGGGTTGGGGTTTAGTGCTCTCTTCCTCGTAACTTGAGCCATGCCCTTCCCATGAAGAGTTACATATTTGGGCACAGCTCAAAGTTCCGCAAGTCCCATAACTATAACTCCGTCGTTGCCAAACTTGTTTGAACACTGCCGCCCCTTCGGAATGGTTTAGGGTTTAGGGTTTAGGGTTTAGGGTTTGGGGTTTAGGGTTTAGGGTTTATAAGGCTCACACGACAAACACGGAGCTGCCTGGACAACTGGAACTAGCTTGCAACCTAAGGCCTCCTGAAACCCCAAACCCGAAAACCCTCTTCAAAGGTAATCCCTGCTAGCTACGATCCCCTACGTTGCTTTTGTCTTGGGGGCTGGGGGGCCGTTGTAAGAGGCATGAATAGATGTGTCGGATGAGGCGCCACAGACGCGGGGAGGAGAAGACGCCCAGGCGGTCGTAGGCCACTACCCGCGTGCCTCTGGGCGGGTTTAGGGGTTAGGGGTTAGGCAACCAACGAAGGATCATGAAGCCATCAGCCGAAGTTTTATGGCGGCAAACAGGGTGCCAGGGCGGGGCACGTACCCGAGAAAGCTGCAATGCCTGTGCCCCAGTTGCACTGCTTGTGCTGACGAAACACAAACTGCAATCCTTGCAAAGAGGGCCTTTTATCGAAAGCACTCTTTGCACAAACCATCTTTTGGGCTTTCAGAAAACCCAGTGAAAACCCCAAACCCTAAACCCTAACCTAAACCCCACTCCCCGAAAAAAGCCGGGCCGCGCCCGCCTGGTTCGATGCCCATGGCTGCCATCGCTGCCGCGAACTTCTCTTCGTCCGGGAGCATGTGGGGGACATCTCAAAGGGAGTTTGGGCGGAGATCTTGGGGCTTCGGGTTTAGGGTTTAGGGGTTTGTGGGGCGGCGGGGAGTTTGGGCGGGGAGTTTGGGCGGGGAGTTTGGGGGCGGTTGGGCTTTAGGGTTTAGGGTTTAGGGGTTTAGGGGTTTAGGGGTTTAGGGGTTTAGGGGTTTAGGGTTTAGGGGTTTAGGGTTTAGGGTTTAGGGTCTAGGGTTTAGGGAGGTTTAGGGCCATTTCGGGTTCGGGTTGAAGGATTTGGGATCTCAGGTTTCCAGGCCTGGAGGCCTTCAGATGGTTAGGGCTGATAAGGTCTGCCCAGACCCCTAGTTACATTAGCTCCTGCTTTTTACCTGCTTGCGGTGCCCAACTTTCTAGCATCCATAAATACGACTTCCCTACACCCCAAACCCTAAACCAAAAATCCCCTAAACCCCAAACCCTAAACCCTGATCCCCAAACCCCAAACCCTAACCCGCAAGAAGGCAGCTGCTCTCAGATGAGGAGGGGCGCGCGTACTCGGACAAGGACCCACCCCTTCACACCCTGAAGTCACCTGTTGGGAAGGAAGCTCGCGCACCTGAGACACTGGAGCCCTGCAACTTAAGAACCCTACTGGCTACCCTGAACCCTAAACCCTTCTTGCCCTAAACCCTTAACCCCAAACTCTAGACCTTATGGCTCCAAACCCTAGCCCTACTTGGAGGTTCATGGGTACTTCTAACCCCAATTATGAATCTACGTATAACCTACTTTGTACTTCGAGGACTTAGAAAGTACAGGTAAACTTGGGGGTTAGAATTCCCAAGTGTGCCTCAAGAAGCCTCCTGCATTGCTGGACGAACCGCAATTCAGGGTCAGGCTGTCGTAGGTCGCAGCTTTAGGTTTAAAAGTTGAAGCTTGAGTGTACATTCTTGAACTCAACAACAAGTCTGAAGGCCCAACCGGAAAGAAGAGAACAATCACATCCCCACTCCTCGAAATCCTGATCCAGCACGACCCCACGCCACAATTAGAAAACAGATACAGGACCTAAACCCCTGAAACCCTAAACCCTTTGGAACCTTGAAGCTGCTTCCAAGCCCTAACCTTAGTAGAGATGAAAGAGCCCCCTATGATAGTCCCTATTAAGGACTGTTATGTAGTAGAAGGGGGAACATCCTTACGTCCCTAAACCCTCAACCCTCAACCCTAAACCCTAAACGCTCCAAACCCCGAAGCCGCAAGAACAGGGTGCTGCGCCTTGTGGATGGGGGGACGCCACGCCGTCCACGTCGTAGAAGACCTGGCCAGCCGGAAAGGCAATGTACGCATTTCGACATACAGTAGGTATTCGCTTGTATGGGGGGCTATGCGGATATTCAGTGTCCCCTGCTGGGGGTTGCGCGGAGGGACCTTCTAGGAGGGGTGCGAAAAAGGGGGCCCTGGCTCAAGTTTCTGCTCAAACCCCGGTGGGGTAGGCGAAGTAGCTGAGCGAGTAGCCGTGAACCGGGCTCGGGGCCTCAACTGGGTTAAGGTACCAGGCCCCCCTTTGTTTTCGGCCTATTCGCTTGAGCCATACTGCGCCTGAGCACCCACCCGGCCTTTGGGCTGTGGCTGCATAGCACTCACCCAGCCTCAGGGCTGCGGCTGCATTGCACTCACCCAGCCTCAGGGCTCGGGCCTGTTTTCTCCCGGCCTTTGGGCTGTGGTCCTCCAAACCCACGGCGGGAAGAGAGCGATCCCGCACCCCTGAGGTGCAGCGCTTTGGGGTAGCCGAGAGGGTGCCCTTGGAGGACTCGATCAGGTCCTATCTGCAAGCCGAGTTTGAGGAACAGCCCAGTGCCCGGGACCTCACACCGGGGCAGAGGGTAACAAACCAACTCCGTGCTTTGGCTCGCTGGTCCAAGACCCGGAACGATTGGATTGCCGACGCCGGGAAACTTTTGTCGGAGGCTCGCCGGCAGAGGTGGTGTGCCGACCTCAACAAGTCCAACATCTGAGCCCAGCCTTTAGGGCTCGGGGCCTCTTCACAGTCACCATGGCTGGTGGACGTTACCACGTTTGCAAGAAGTGCGGCCCGGCCAGCTGGATCTTCGCGGCAAAGGTGCCCAAGTTCCCCAAGTGTCAGTGGTGCGGAACTAAGTGGCCAACGGATGTGCCCACCCCCAAGATCTGGTCCAAGCCGGAGCCTAAGCCCCGACCTCGCAAGCCCAAGACCAACAAGGTCCATGACTGCTTGCGGAAGGTATGGGACACTCTTCCTGAAGAGGCCTGTGTGCAGCTGAAAGAGGCTGGGTTTGAAGCCAAGCCGGCTCGCACTGAGGATGTGGATCTTGTTGCTCTCCTGCAGCAGCATGTCGGAGACCTTCCCCAGGTCATCGTGGACGCCCTGCCGGCTACCCCAACCCCGGACCCTCGCCAGGAGGGAAAAGAGGCTGGGGATGTTCTTCGCAGCTCGGTTGGCAAGCTCCGTGATCTGGGCCAGAGGAAATTGAGACTGCAGGAGGAGATCGACACAGCCAAGGACAACTTGCGAGCAATGCTTCACAAGATGCAGGACATCCAGAATGCCATCGAGGAGGCAAAGGTGGAAGTCGCGAAGACCACCAAGGAATATGAAGACAAGGTGGTCAAGCATTGCGCGGAAGAGGTCAACAATGGAGTGGAATCTGTTCTGCAGGCTTTGGGCATGCAAGAGGCCAGCCTTACCGAAGAGCAAAAGAGGAAGCTGGAAGCTCTTAAGTCCGATGAAGCCAAGCGCAGACGCATGCAGGTCGATCCAGGCCTTCCCCCGGGTCTGCCACCCTCGCAGGCCTCGGTGATGCCGGACCTCGCAGCACGAGGCCGAAGCCGAACCCCGCCAGGGGGAGCAGTGGGGGGCCAGGCCCCGGGTCTGGCATCGCAGACGGGTTAGGGAGCTGGGTTCGGGGCTTGTAGGGCGCTGGGGGTTTTGGATTCCAGGGATAACCTGTTCTCCCCGCACTTGTCCGCGTCGTCCCTCTCCCCGACAACCCGTGTCTTTCCCCTTGGTCAAAATTTTGTCACCTTGCCCGAGACGTTTTGCCAATCCCCTTCCCAAGCAGATGTCTTCAGTCTTAGCTGTTGTGAGGTCTGCAGGTGTCAGGCCGGGGAGGACCCGTGTCACACCCTTTTCCAGGTTGGGGATGGTCTCGCGCTTGCAGTTTTGTGTCGGCTGTGCCGAGGATGGGCCTCCCATGAATGTGCCGTGGTGCCTGCGTGTCAGGGTTGCCTGGTGGAGCTTCCAACATACACCCGGTCATCAAGACATGCGGTTCTGTGTGGCATGTGTCAGGGTCAGCCCCTCCAGAAGGAGTGGGATTCAGGATTGGGGCAGGTTTCGCTTGGAGCGGAATGTGTACCAGCAAAAGATCCCTCACCAGTTCCAATTTCTTTAGCAGCGCTATGCCAATATGAGGTGGTCCACCATCCTTTGGTGACGGGGCCGAGGTATTTTCCTCTGGAGGCTTTGTGCGACCTGCAGTTGTATGAAACCCCCAGTACTTCTACTCCCCTCGTCTTAGGAGGTGGATCTCGACCCACAGGTACCCAGTCGTCTTGTCGCAGCAGAAGAACCCGACGACGTCGCAACAGGACGGCCCGGCCTCTCAAGGCTAGGGAGCCTTTGGATTCAGCTATCGTAGCCTGGAACACTATGACCCCGCATGAAAAGATGGACAAGTGGGGCCAGTTAGCGGGTTTGGTGTCCAGGGGTTTTCAGCAGGGCTTTCCTTCTGTGGAGTCTAACATGGTAGGCCTTTTCGAAGATGACGAACCCACCGACCCCTTGACCTTGGAGTATTTGGTGGTCCACAAAATGTTTCAGGCCCTTGCTTCCCCCAGCCCAAGCCCAAGTGACTGGGTTTTTGTCCTTCGAGGCTCGGAGGATCTTTCGGCAAACTCTTACGAAGCTAAACCTAGGAACCTCAAGGTCTGTTCGGCCAATGTCACCCGATGGCGGTCGAGTCACCGGAAATGGGCCCACACCTTGTCCCCGGACATTCTTATGCTGCAAGAACTTCACCTTACCAAAGAGGATCTTAAGATTGAGACTCGTCATTTGATGAATCTAGGGTTTGTGCTCTTTGGTGTTGCTAGCCCGAAAAGTGCCAAGGGTAACCCCCTAGGAGGTGTAGGGATTGCAGTCAAAAATCACTTGGGACCCAGGATCATAGTGACTTTCCACGCCTCGCAGGGCTGTGGCTATGTTATTGTGGCTTTGCGTTCCAAAGGGGTAGATTTCAATTGGATCTCCTTGTACCTGGAAAGTGGGACGGGCTTGGATAGCCCAGTCAATGACCTTATCCGGGGACTCCGAGCTTGACTTCTTCGTCGTCCATCCCAGTCTTCACTCCCTGTCGACGGTCCGGCTGTCATTTGACACTCCTTTCAAGCCTCACGGACTTCTAACCTTGGACGTGCCAGTGCACTCCCTTCAGCTGAGAGTCCCCACCATCAGGTCGGTGGTGTCCCCGGCTCCCTCCTCCTTCCACGCCAGCTCCCCAGTCCAGCTGGTCCAGATTTTGGATGTGTCGTCCCAGGAGGAGTCCTCTATTGCCTTGGGCCAATGGTCCCGCGACCTCCAGTCGGAGGCCCAGGCCACCACAGGAAAGGGCTGGTGGGTCGACCTTCCCCGCAGGCCGTTGGCCTCGCACCCAGTTGGAGGAGGTGCCTGGACAGGAGGGCCTATGGCTATCTGGGATAGATGGCGCACCTGGCTTCAGACAGGGATGGTCCCTAAATCCTCCGAGGCCTTTGCCTCCATCCCTCCGGACGACCCCCTTCTTCCCGTCCTGAAGGACTGGGTTCACGCTGATGACCGCAGCAGCCTCACTCGGGAGTTGGTGCCCCAGGTCGAGACCAAATATAAAGAAGCTTTGGCCTCCCAGACCTCCCAGAACTCCGAGTCTTACTCCAAGTGGCTGGAAGAGGCGCAAAATGATCACCTCCGCCCCCTTTACCGCTCCCTTCGAGCTGACGAGCAAACCTTGGAACGGCCGTATCGGGAGTTCACTCCCCTGGCGCGGCCCTATAAGCGGCTAGAATTTTGGTGTGAGGTATGGCAGGGTAACCTGGTGTCGCCAGCCCCGCTCCAGGGGGAAGTGTGGGACGCCTTGTGTGACTTAGCCCGGGAGCAGGTCCGTTCCCTGCCCAAGCATTCTGCTAGCTCCGTCGCCAAGATATGCGCCGCAAAAAATCCCAAAAAAGGAGGCCCGGACGGCTGGGATTTCAACGATCTTCGGGACCTGCCTCGGGACGCGTATGCAGTCCTCGCCGACGTCTTCAACAGAATGGAGGAGGACCTTGTCATTCCCCTCCAAGTTTCCCAGGTCCAGATTGTTCTTCTGGCCAAGAGTGCCTTGAAGGAAAGACCTATCGGTCTTACATCAGTCCTATGGCGGCTTTGGTGTAAGACTCGGCGGTTCTTGGTCGGCCAGTGGCTGGACTCTTACATTCCTGATCACCCTTTTGACTCGGCGATTCCAGGCCGTACCTCGTTAGACGTTGCCCTGGCCAGGAAATGCTCCAAAGAGTCTGCCAGAGTCAAGGGCTTGCACACTGTCTCGTTGTTCGTAGACATTAATGGGTTTTACGACAGCGTTTCTTGGCAGAGGCTTTGCGAACAAGGCTTGCGGTTGTCTTTCCCAGCCTTGGCCCTGTGCCTCTCCCTTCGCCTCTACCAAGGTGGTCGCACGGTGGTGGGTGAATCCCAGCCTAGTCCAACCATCTTCCCAGGCCGGGGCATGATCCAGGGATGCCCGTACGCTCCCACCTTGGCCAAGCTTACCATGTCCGAACCCTTACATAGACTGAAACGAGTCACAGGCTTGGATCCCTTTCGAGTGCTCAAGTCCAGTCTTCAGGCTGAAGGTCTCGTCCTCAGCCAAGAGAAAACGAAATTTGTGGCCGGAACACCCCGCTCAGCTGCAGCGCTGCGAAAGCTGTTGCGGCCAGGGGACCCTGACTTAGTCGACGTGGTCAAGGATTTAGGCCTTGACAGTGGCAGTGGACGCCGGCGCAGGACCACTACTGCCCAGAAACGCTTCCGGGTAGGTGGCCTCCGTAACCTGAAGTTGGGTAAGCTTCGCATTCCGTCACGCCGTGTCCGGCTGCGGTTGCATCGTTCTAGTGTAGTCACTTCGGGTCTTTATGGCCATGAAGCACAGGGGGTCGCCCCTAAACATATTAAAACTATGCGCGCAGCGGTGGCCCGACACGCAGGCAGGAGCCGATACGGTTCAACGGACACCATCCTAGACATGACAGCCCATGAGGTTCAGGACCCTTACCTTATTGTGGTGACCCAGCATGTGGAAAGTCTCTTCAGGATGATGGCCAGATGCAACCGCATGGGCTGGGAGGCAGTAAAGGACACTTGGAGAGTGGTCTGGAAGCGGCTGGAGGCTGCGAAGCACGGCTGGTCCGTGGTCACCGGACCCATCTCAGCCATGTGTCAATACCTCCGCGACCTCCAGGTCGACGGCCACGATCCTTCCCGCTGGGTTTTTGAGGAGCGTGTTCTTGAGATCAAGCCTTCTGAGGTTTCGGTTGTCTGCCAAACCTCGTCCTTCCTCACGGACATCATCAAGACCCAGAGGTCTCGTCGCATGGGATCGGCCTCGTCGGCAGCGGGTGCTGGTGGCGGGGTCGACTGGACCGTCCCGCGTCGCCTGCTCAAGTCAGTGCGCACTAAAACTACCCGGTACGCTTACCGGGCGGTTTTCCAAGGGTCCATTCTCCATAACGGCAACGGTGGCAAGGATGTCTGTAAGTTTTGTGGTGATTCCGGAACCACCTTGCGCCACCTCATGTATGAGTGCCCTTCCTTCCCCGGTGGCATGCGGTTACCGGGGTATGTTCTGGCGGAGAAGCGCCGTTTCCCTGAGGACTGCCTGTGGCTTCGGGGTATGCTTCCCCTTAAATACCTCCCAGTCGCTCCCTCGGGGGACCTAGAAGTGGTCAAGACAGGCGTGTTTCTTACGTCCTCCCAGGTAGTAGCAGACGGGCTGGTGGTTGCTACGGACGCGTCAGGGGGCATGTTCACCAAGGATCCGAGATTGCGAAGGGTGAGCTGGTCTGTAGTCGTGGGGCGGGTTCAAAATGGTCAGTTTCAGGAGTTAGGAACCATGTCCGGCCTCACCCCCCCCGGAACAAGCGTCGCGCACGGTGAATCTTTTGCCATTGTGCAGACGATCAAACACACCCTTGGTCAGGTTGACCTCACGGGGGACTGTAAACCAGCCCTAAGGACCCTTTCCAAAAAATCCTTTCAAAAAACGACCCCGGCTTTTTGGGGCCCGGTCTGGGAGGACCGCGGTAGGATAAGGCCCACTTGGGTAAAATCCCACCTAACTAGCCGTGAGTTCGAAATGCGGTTTGGCTTTTCCCAGCTTTGGAGACACCAGGCCAACCAATGTGCGGACGAGTTGGCAGGCAAACGAGCTGCCACCATCTCGCCTGTCGCGGGGCGGAAAGTCCAGGACCTGGATAGGCTTGTAACCAGGATCTGTGACTACCTGGCGTCGCGAGCTGTGGTTGTTTTGAAACACGCCTCAAAAGATGATTTTGTTCCCCGAAGCCAAAGAGAGGAACCCCAACCACCCAAAGGGCCTAATAAGCGCCAGCTTTTGCTGGCAAAAGTGGATGTCCCGGAAGCAGTAGGTGGTCATGTCTGGCAAGTAGGGGGGTTGAAAACTAATAATCTTGCAATCACTTGTGCGAAGTGTAGGCTTTACCTCCAGCAGGTTCATGAGATGGATAGGCTAGAACGTTTGCTTGCGCAGCCGTGCATTGACATGCCCCATAACCCTAAGCATCCAAAGACCCTGAATGTGAACAAAGACCTGATCCGAGCATGTTTCTGGGCGGAGTGCTTGTTTTTTATAGTCTTGCATG